ACAGTCCAAAGTGGTTTTGACTTGCAAAACCGTAAAATTCTAAAGAAACAAAAAAAATGCATTTTACTCACCACTGTATGTCCAGTACCCAACTCAGACCTTATATAAGATGCTCAATAAACATTTTCTGAATGCTGAATATTGAAATGGTTGGTATGAAATATGAATGCAGGTTACCAAACTCACACTAGTATAACACCTAGCACTCTTTCTACTGTGTAAAATCTTTTTCACAGCTCTCTAAAATAACACCTATGAGAAACCTAAAGAACTGTTATAATATACTCTAAGAAAATGTAACATTACCTGTTACATTTGAAAACCTGGTGTGAACTAGGTATTGTTTAATAGGTTCTCATTTAGACCATAGTTTGAAACCCAAACCAATGGTTCTACCATTTTTATTTCTAAATATTTGCTACCTGAATTAAGTGATAAAGTAACTCTTTATTCCTAGATGAAGTAGCAATAAGATTCTAGTCTTAATTTAATCATCATACCTTGGTCATCTCCCTCATACAGACTATTCTTAATACTTAGTATCTTGTTTTCTCTGATGATTGATAATGTTTTTGGTTTCGGTTTTGGTTTTGGTTTTGGTTTTCTTGAGACAGGGTCTCACGCTGCTGCCCAGGCTGGAGTGTAGCAGTGTGATCACAGCTCGCTGCAACCTTGAACTCCAGGGCTCAAGGGATCCTCCCACTTCAGCCTCCTGAATAGCTGAGACAACAGTCATGCACTATCACACCCAGCTATTTTTTTTTTTTATTTTTAGTAGAGACGAGGTCTCACTGTGTTGCCCAGGTTGGTGTCAAACTCCTGGCCTTAAGAAATTTTCCTGTCTCAGCCTCCCACAGTGCTGGGCTTACAGGTATGAGCCACTGGTCCAGCCAAGAATGATCCTTAATTTCCTAAAGTTTCTTGTGTTTATATCTGAGACATTTCTTGCCTTTTAGGAAACTTCAGATACAAAGACTGTGTAGCATCTTAAAAATAATTTGTCACCATACCATTTTTTTTTTCTTTAAAAATTTTCCTATCAGTTTAACATTTACTGTTTCTCATACAAAAGCACAATGTAAAAAATTTTGGAGTGAGCGGTTGAAAAATTACCTGTTGTAAGGTATAATGTTCACTATTTGAGTAATGGGTACACTAGAAGGCCAATCTCACCAGTCTACAATATACCCAAGTAACAAACATGCACATGTACCCCAGAATCTAAAAATTAAAAATTGAGGAATTCAAGCTACAACAAATCAAATTTTATTTTGAAATACATGCTACAAATATAACTTTATCCTACAGAAAGACATGACCTACCATGGATATAGCCAACAAAATGAGCTTCTGTTGCAATAAGAAGAATTTGAACTTAATATTCTTTAAAGAAAAAAAAGGATATTGTCAATAAAGACTTTAAAGGGGCCAGCACGGTGGTTCACATCTATAATCCAAACTCTTTGGGAGGTCAAGGTGGGAGGATCGCTTGAGCTCAGGAGTTTGAGACTAGCCTAGGCAACACAGAGAAATCCACAATCTCTGCAAAAATGTAAAAAAATTAGCCACACATGGTGGTGTGCATCTGTAGTTCCAGCTACTCAGGAGGCTGAGGTGGGAGGATCCCTTGAGCCTGGGATTCAAGGTACAATAAGCCTGGATGGTGCCACAGAACCCAGCCTGAGCAACAGAATGAGATCCTACCACAAAAAAGAAAGGAAGAAATAAACAAAAGATGTAAAAATGGAACAAGGACTCAATCTTCTCTGCAGGTTTAAACAGAAAAATGTTTTTCAAATGTCTAGAATGACTTAGATTTGGCCTCACATTTGACAATGAGGCAAAATCAGTTCAAAGGTCAGTCTGACCCAAAGGATTCAAATCCTATCTGTGGGTCACACAAACAAATGACTAGCAAACTGCATCCTTCTGCTCTGCAGCTATCCAGTCCCAGCTTTAGTACTTGCCAACCTTACTCTGGAAATTACCCTGTTAATTAACATATCAATATGGAGAATTATTCCTTCCAAATACTGAAACTTTTGCTTCTCAGTAGCATTCTGCAGTCCCTTTAATATTGTTTTGCTAACATGACCAGAAGAAAAATATTAATATTCTGTGATGCAATCAATTTCTTCTCTATTAATACTCTGTTCCACTGTTCTATACAAACATAGATTCCACCCTGAATTTCAGAAACCACTAGGAAAATAACAGATAACAGAGAAATTAGAGCTCTTAGGTTTAACTTAGAGCCAAAATCAAAAGAGAAGAGACAATTCAGAGAGAGGAAGGAAGAAGCTGAGAGGGTCGTAGTGTAGAACACTTACTTTCAGGAACACAGTGTCCCTTAGATTTCTGGTGAGTTGCCCAGAGCCTCTTCAGTTTCAATCCAAATGACAATGCTTCTCTGAGTCCTCCTCAAGTAATGTTTCCACCACTAAAAATTGGATCTACAAGAGCTCAGATGTACCGGTAAAAAAAAAAAATGTCAGGGCCCCCATGTGGGCCTCAAGCCTGTTAAACTAGGCCCACTTCTCTGTCCTGGGCCAACTCCCCTGTGTACTATATTCCTTCTTCTTCCAGGTGCCAGGTATTCGGCCTGTTTCTTCTCTTCTGAGCTGCCACCACCTACTCTATTTCTCAGGGTTCCTCTAACCCCAAGACTGGCTGTGGAGTAGGACACCAGCTTCCCCCCTTCCTTGCTGTCCCTGCAAATAAACATATAGGCTCTTCTAGTTTCAGTATTTTTCTAATGGCTACAAGAAAATAGAGAGGGAACAACAAAAAGCAATAATATATAGTACCAGATATTAAGATTATAATAGTCTCCACTTTAAGGTTCCTGCCTCCAAGAAACAAATTTTCTAAAAATTGCTTATTGAGCATTTAAAAAAGCCCAAAATACTAACATAGTCATACAAATATACTCTAAACCAACTCCAACCTTACAGACATGAAGATGCGGTTTTTCAAAATACTTAAATCACAAATCACGGGTCCAAAAACAGTAACCACAATCATCTTAGCAATACCTTTTTCCTTTTTGGAGTGTTCTGTTGTAATTTCCTAAATTTAGCATATGTTTGAAAGTTTGCTTTTTGAATATGAAAAATGTACAAAATATTTTACTCTTTGTAAGAACATACAAAAAGCAAATAATTTACAAAAAGCAAGCATGTCAAAAGCAACGATATTCACTAAGAAAATTTTCAAATACATTGTCAACTATTCCTGTCTCTAAATTTTAAACTTAATAAAATTCTGTAAACAGTGTTTTAAAAAATCAAGATACCTCATTTTTTAGAAAACTAATGTCTACTGAATATTTATATATGTCAATATTATATATGCCCTCTTTTTTAAAGCAACAGTAAGACCGATTAATATGCTTATTGTTATAGTTTCTAATGGACTTTGTATCTTCTCTAAATATTAAGTAATATTAAGTATCTTCTCTAAATATTAAGTGATAAATCATAGGCTTACATTTAATACAAAAGGTACCTTCCTATAAAAATCAAGGAGCTCGATAACTAAGTGCTGACAGATTAAGAATGCCACTGACTGAATTTCCTGATTTTCTTTATCCACTTAATTCAAAGTCATTTTATAAAAAACAGAGTTTTTATTATTATTATTATTATTTTTAAAGACAGGGTTTCACCATGTTGGTCGGGCTGGTCTTGAACTCCTGACCTCAGGTGATCCAACCGCCTTGGCCTCCAAAGTGCTTGGATTACAGGCGTGAGCCACCGCGCCCGGCCAAGACTGAGGTATTATACTGCAAGCTTACAATAAAATGAAGTCTGAAAATAGAGATCTTTTCATCTCATTTGTCTAAGAGACTGCCATTTAATCAAACTAAAAATTACAGATACTTTCAGTAAAAATCTGTTCCTGTGACTGGGCTCATCTCCAACTACTTATTTACAAAATATTAGAGAACTGGAATAAAAAAACACTAAATAAAACCTTGATCTGACCCTTCTACAATCAGATACTTTTTTTTTTTTTTTTTTTTTTTTGAGGAATGAAATTAAATTACATCCTTTGCTCCTAAAAGAGGATTTTCTGGGTTTTCCTTGATCCCTACACAATGCAGCCAACATTTTTATACCCGGAGTGGGGAGAGGGGCATTACACCTAGCGATACGAATTAAATCGCAGTAGCTAATGCCTCCCTTAAATAATTTATTCTCTCTTGGCAGCAAAAAACGTTACAGCCTCTTCAATTATCCCTCACCGCAAACCATCGCCTGGGTCGCGATCAATGTGACCCAGTTCCTATCGCCGCCACCACCTCCGTCTCGCCTCCTCCCGCAGGGTCTGCGATTGTCATGGGAGGGGGCGGCAGCCGCAGGGGCGTCCTCTGGTCGCCACCCCGCCTGACCGGCGGCACGCGGGAGAGGCCCCGTACTCACCGAGTGGAGGTGCCCTTCCGCACATCACACATCATGCACTTGAAGGCCTCCGCGCTGTTCCGGAAGGTGCAGACGCTACAGTCCCAGTAACCCTCATCCGAGGACGGCTTCGGCTGCCGCTTCGGCCTGCAGGACACAACCCGGACACGACGCGGCGCGGGGTCACCAGCAGGCCGCGCCAGGCGCCCGGGCCCCTCGGCCGCCCCCGCCCCGCCCCCCGCCCCAATTCCGCGACCCCCGTCCCGTGGGCCCCCGGCACGCCGCGCTCCGGCTCGGCGGGGGAAGGGAGTCAGGAAGAGGCAGGGCGCGAGCGCGGCCGCAGTCGCCACCGCCACAGCCGCTCTGGGCTGCCGCTCCGGCCGCTGCCGCCATCGCGGCTCCATTGTGGGGCGGCCGGCGCCGGCCCCCTCATGCGGCAGCACTCTCACAGCAGCGGCGCCGCCCCCCTGCTCGCCCCGGTGCCCGGGCGGCGAGCGAGGCGGCCACCCGAAGCCCGGCGCCAGGGGCCCTGCCGCCCGCACAGTCCGGGCCCCGGGGCCCGGGCGCTGTTACCTGGTGGGGCTCTTCTTGTCTCCCATGGCTTGGCTATCAACGGACGCCGAGAGTCGCCGCTGCGGCCGCTCTGTTTGTCAATAAGGAGGATAATAAGCCGGGCGGAAGCGGGCGGGGGAGGAGGGAGGGAGGGGGTGGGGAAGGCCGCACCACTGCGCTCGAGAGCCGCCGCCGGATCCCACGCAGCCTCCAGCTGTCGGGGAAACTCCTGCCTGGGCGCACGTGACCCGCGCCCGCCAACCAGCGGCCGCGCCGGAGACTTCAAACGCGGCCAGCGCGGCCCAGCACCCGCGGCGAGTTCGCAGGCGAGTCGTGCGGGGGTGGCCGCGGCGGCTTTGGCCGCAGGCGCCGCCTCTCCGCGCTGTTCCCCCGCCGCCCCCTCGGCATCCCAGGCTGCCAGGGACTGCCGCGCGCTCCAGAGCCCCCCTGAAAAGGAAAACGTCTGCCCCACCGACTGGCAGGGAATGCTCCGTCATCCCGTGCGAAGCTTGGTCCAAGGTGCGGCCGGTCGGCGTTCGGAGGCCTGTCCAGGGCTGGACGGAAGTGCCAGCCGGGGGTCTCCAGATAGAACGACTTTCCTGGCCTCTGCGGTCCTCGGCTACTCAGCCCCCGCCTGCGGGATACCAGGGGGAAGGCGGGAACCAACACGCAACGCCATTGCTAGATGCCTTACAGCAGTGTCTCGTTTATGCACACAGTTGATCTAACAAGTAAGGATTGTCACCCCTAACTTAGAGGAATGGAAACCTAGACTCAAGAGAGGTTAGGTGACTTCCTTTAGGCTACATAATTTAAAAATTACGAAGCCAGCAGTCTAACTCTGTTTTAATTTCAAACGCGCCCTTTTGGCCTCTCAGGCCTCTGCAGTAGCTGCTTTTAAAAGAAACCGAGTGCATACTCATAAGGCCTTTTTAAATATAAGGAATTTGCATGTGCCTTCAACGATGTCTGCTAACAAAAGAACACTTTCCCAGGTCTCTACCGCAACATACGAAAGGTCCTCATACTCCAGACTCTAGCAACAGCCATCTTAACTGGTCTCCGAAGCTCCACTTCCACCTCCCCAATCTATTAAGTAATCCACAACCAGATTAATAATAAAATGCAGTTAATACTATGCCACAACTCTCACCAAGAACTACTAACGACTTCCACACTCCTTAGCCTGGCATTCAAAGGCTTCACACATTTTCCCTACCTCTGCATCCCTCTCCCATAAGAAAAGCCACCGCTTGACAAAAGACCGCAGATGAAACTCATTCTTTCTCTTACCAGAACTCTTCCTTTATGCACATGGGTTACTTCTGCATGAAGTAACTATTCTGTTTCCATATTTCTAGGTTTATATCAAGTCCGAATTCATGTAAAATGATAATTTTATAGCTAGACTGCAAAGGAAATAGTGCAGTCAGAAGTCCAGGGTCCTCAGCCTGCTTCCCCTGTTTCTTAGCTTATATATCTTGCAAGTATTGTTTAATTTATGTAATTCTCAACTCTTTCATATGCTGAATGGCATATATATGAAGTTGTTGTGCGATTAATAATTAAGTAACTTTTTTTGGCCGGGTAAGGTGGCTCACGCGAATAATTCCAGCACTTTGGGAGGCTGAGGTGAGTAGATCACCTGAGGTCAGGAGTTCCAGCCAACACGGTGAAACCACCGTCTCTACTAAAAAAAAAAAAAAAAAAAAAAGTAGCCTGGCATGGTGGCGGGCACCTGTAATCCCAGCTACTCGGGAGGTTGAGGCAGGAGAATTGCTTGAACCGGGGAGGTGGAGGTTACAGTGAGCCTAGATCACGCCACTGCACTCCAGTCTGGGCTACAGGAGACTCCGTCTCTAAATAAATAACCTTTTTTTAAGCACTATGTGCCAGGCACTTTGTAAATCCTCGTACGTAATATCCATTTACAAAGTGCAGGGATTTACAAAGTGCATACTCAAAGTACTATGCGTACTCAAAGTACTATGCACATGGTCTCATCAACTGCAGATGCTCTTTGATTATAATGGGGGTACTTCCCGATAAATCCATCTTAAATAAAAAATATTGAAAAATCGCCGGGCGTGGTGGCTCACGCCTGTAATCCCAGCACTTGGGAGGCCGAAGCCGGCGAATCACGAGGAGAGATCGAGACCATCCTGGCCAACATGGTGAAACCCCGTCTCTAGTAAAAATACAAAAATCAGCTTGGGTGTGGTGGCGCGCGCCTGTAGTCCTCAGGAGACTGAGTCAGGAGAATGTTTTAAAACCGGGAGGCGGAGGTTGCAGTGAGTCGAGATCGCGCCTGGCGACGGAGCGAGACTCCGTCTCAAAAAAAAAAAAAAAAAAATCGTAAATCGAGAATGCATTTAATACAGAGGTTAACCCCATCGTAAAGTGGAAAAATCGTGAAGTCGAGCCATTGTAAATCCATGGTCTAGGCCTTCATTTTAAAGACAAGGAAGTTAGGGCCCAGGTTAAATGGTTTTCCTTTAATGAGTAGACCAGGGTTAGAGCTCAGGTATCCTATTCGTCTTTCACCACGGCTTCTTTCTGATTAACCAAATCACCGTATTTACAGCAGTCTCTAAACTCATTGTACTCTCTGAAGTTTTTGCATATGTAGCTTCTGATGATTCATACCCGAATTCAGAAACCATGAGGAGTATGGTTGAGGAACCTATACAAGAGAACGAGATTTAAGGCCTGGTCTTTAACCTCTCAGTATTGCGGTGGGTAAACTCAGTTAAGTGTCTTTTTTCATATGTAAAATAAAGAAGTTAAAACTATTACTACAACTAAGGTCCTTTACAGGCGTAAGGCATTGTGATGTTTTTAAATTCCTCAACTGAATAAATAAATAAATAAATTCCTCAACTGGATGGATCTTCAAGGAGACGAGACTGACAAGAACTGCTCTACTTGCAAAAGTGATGGCAACAATGTATTTTTTAAAAAGAAAGCTAAATCAAGCTCTCTTAAAAAAAAATCCCCCATGCTGCAAGTCACCATTTCACTAGATTAAAACCTCCATCACTGGAAAGTGAGCAGCACCTCTGAATCATGAACAAAAAGGACAAGAACTTTTGTTTCTTTCTTTCTTTCTTCTCTTTTTTTTTTAGCTACTCCGCCTCCCAAAGTGCTGGGATTACCAACGTGAGCCACCATGTCCGGCCTGAAGTTTTGTTGTCTTTATTGCTGCGTCTCCAGTCCCCAAGAACAGTGTGATACAGTGGGTACTCAGTAAATATTCTGAGAATAAATATATCTACTTATAGCCAGGTTAGCATGCACCTGTATTCCCAGCCACTTGGGATGTTGAGGCAGGAAGATAATTTGAGCCCAGGAGTTGGATACCAGCCTAAGCAACATAGCAAGACCGTATCTAAAATAAATAATAAGTTCACTTGTGGTTTTTGTTGTTGTTGTTGTTTTAAAAAAAAAAAAAGAGACGGGGTCTCCCTATGTTGCCCAGGTTGGAGTGCAATGGCTATTCACAGGCGCGATCCCACTACTGATCAGCATGGGAGTTTTGACCTGCTCCATTTCTGACCTGGGCCGGTTCACCCCTCTTTAGGCAACCTGGTGGTCCCCCGCTCCCGGGAGGTCACCATATTGATGCCGAACTTAGTGCAGACACCTGATCAACATAGCGCAATACAGCCCAGAACTCCTGGACTCAAGAGATCCTCCAGCCTCAGCCTCCTGAATAGCTGGGACTACAGGCACGCGCCACCGCACCCATTCACTTGTGTTACAATTCTTGAATAAGATTTTTTTCTTTCCTATTGGAATTTACAAACTGTTAAGCATATTGCATAAAGTGGATGGTCAGTAAATGCTGGAATTAACATTTATCCTTCAAAATGAACTTTACAACTGTGCACATCCTTGTCGATGAACCAGGAACTTACTTTTTGTGGAGCACAAAGTCACATGCCCTTGCACAATACTAACTGCCTCCCACTTATTGGTGTTTCTCTTTAAAAAAAAAAAAAAAAAATCTCTGCCTCTACTAGGCTTATTTGTTTTTTCCTGTACTTGTGGAGACAGTAGTACAGGAGCTACTCCTCCCATTTCTCCACAAAAAGTCACATCTTTCCTAAAGTGTTTCTCTACTAGCTGTAAGAGTGGCTGATGTAGAGAATAAAGATCGTTTTATTACCAGAGTGGCCCAGGTTCTTACCCAATCAGGTGTCTTTTCAATGCGTTAACAGAGGTCAGTACTTTAGAAATGTAATTCATTAGGGTCACTTGTAAAGTGACTCAAACACTAACCATTGTTTTAACAATTTAACAATAAATAGTTGAAGTTTTCTGATAATTTACTTTTTTTTTTTTTTTTTTTTTTTTTTGAGACAGACTTACTCTCTTGCCCGGCTGGAGTACAGTGGTGCGATCATAAGTCACTACAGCTTTGAACTCTTGGGCTCCAGCGATTCTCCTGCCTCAGCCTCCCAACGTGCTGGGATTCCAGGCGTAAGTCACTGTGTCTGGCTTTACTTTAATTTTTAAAAGGTAAATGAGGGCGAGCGCAGTGGTTCATGCCTATAATCTCAATACTTTGGAAGGCTGAGGTGGGCAGATATCTTGAGCTCAGGAGTTTAAAACCAGCCTGGGCCTCATTGATAATAGACTGGATTGGAAAAATGTGGCACATATACACCATGGAATATTATGCAGCAATCAGAAATGATGAGTTTGTGTTGTTTGTAGGGACATGGATGAATCTGGAGAACGTCATCCTCAGCAAACTGACACAAGAACAGAAAATGAAACACCGCATATTCTCACTCATAGGTGGGTGATGAAAAATGAGAACACATGGACACAGAAAGGGGAGTACTAAACACTGGGGTCTATTGGGGGGAAAAGGGGAGGGCCAGTGGGAGGGGGAGGTGGGGAGGGATAGCCTGGGGAGAAAAGCCAAATGTGGGTGAAGGGGAGAAGAAAAGAAAGCACACTGCCATGTGTGTACCTACGCAACTGTCTTGCATGCTCTGCTCATGTACCCCAAAACCTATAATCCAATAAAAAATTAAAAAAAAAAAAAACCAGCCTGGGCCTTATGAGGAAACCCTGTCTCTACAAAAAATACAAAAATTAGCCTGGCATGGTGCCGTGCACCTGTAGCCCCAACTACTTGGGAGGCTGAGGTGAGAGAATCACTTGAATCTAGGAAGCAGAGGTTGCAGTGAGCCAGGATCACACCACTGCACTCCAGCCTGGGCAGCAGAATGAGGCTCTGTCTCAAAAAAAAAAAAAAAAAATGTAGATTAATCTTTACTTTTCCCAGTTACCAAGGAAGCTGAGAGCTGAGGCAGGGAGGATCGCTTGAACCGAGGAGCTGTGGGCTGTGGTGTGCTATGCTACTCAGGTATCCACACTAAGTTCTCCATCAATATGGTGACTCCCCAAGAGTGAGGGGCCGCCAGGTTGCCTAAGGAGAGGTGAACTAGTCCAAGTCAGAAACTAAGCAGGTCAAAACTCCTGTGCAGGGCCTCAGTGGCGCACACCTATAATCATAGCACTTTGGGAGGCCGAGGTGGGCCGATCACCTGAAGTCACGAGTTCAAGACCAGACTGGCCAACATGGTGAAACCCTGTCTCTACTAAAAAATACAAAAATTAGCTGGGCGTGGTGGCGGGCACCTGTAATCCCAGCTACTCGGGAGGCTGAGGCAGGAAGACTTGCTTGAACCTGGGAGGTGGAGGTTGCAGTAAGCCAAGACGGCCCCACTGCTCTCTAGCCTGGACAACAGAGCGAGACTCCCCCCTGACTGCAAAAAAAAAAAAAAAAAAAAAAAAAAAAAACCTCATGCTGATCAACTGTGGGATCATGCCTGTGAATAGCCACTGCACTCTAGCCTAGGCAACATGGTGGGACTATGTCTCTGTAAAATAAATAAATTAAAATCAAAGTAAGACCTAGGCCACTGATATAATAATATCCATTTCCATTCCAGTATGCTTCCTAGGAGAGACTGGAGTAGGTACTGAAATTGTGCATGTGATCCTGTGCAGAGATGAACAGTAATCTGTTCTCTCTGGAGATGAATTTAAAAATTGAGAGCCTCTTTTAGAACCAGACCGTGTGGGCCAGGTGCAGTGGTTCATACATATAATCCCAGCAGTTTCAGAGGCCAAGGCAGGAGGATCTCTGGAGCTTAGGAGTTCAAGACCAGCCTGGGCAACATAGTGAAACTTCATTTCTACTAAAAAAAAAAAAAAAAAAAACAGGCTAGAGAGACGTGGTGGCTCATGCCTGTAATCCCAGCGTTTTGGGAGACCAAGGCGGGTGGATCATGAGGTCAGGAGATCAAGATCATCCTGGCTAACACAGAGAAACCCCGTCTCTACTAAAAATACAAAAAAATTAGCCAGTCCTAGCGTGCCTAATGGCACACGCCTGTAGTCCTAGCTACTCAGGAGGCTGAGGCAGGAGAATTGCTTGAACCCAGGAGGTGGAGGTTGCAGTGAGCTGAGATCGCGCCCCTGCACTCCAGCCTGGGCCACAGAGCAAGACTCCATCCTCCCCGCCCTCCGCCAAAAAGAAACAAATAAACAAAAATGTTAGCCTGGTGTGGTGGTGCACATCTGTAGTCCCAGCTACTTGGGAGGCTAAGGTGGGAGAATCACTTGAGCCTGGAAGGTCAAGGCTGCAGTGAGCTATGATAGTCCCACTGCACTGCAGCCTGGGCAACAGAGTGAGACCTTGTCTCAAAAAAATAAAAATAAAAAAAGGAAACTGACAGCAGGATCTCAGAGACCCTGGATCTTCTGGTTAGTTTTGAGTCTATTAGCCAACATAATAATAATAAAAACTATGTATTAATATTGTATATAGTTATTAGGCAACAGGAGCTAATACCTGAAATGAGAAGTATCATCTTGTTTATTAACTGGAATTTGAAAGAAAATGGGGTACTTATGGGAGAAATAAGCCACAAACCTTCCCTGAGAGCAGGAACTCAAAGTATAATAATAAGCTACAATGGTAAAACCAATCACATTTTGAAAGATGGATTTGTGTGGTTTTTGTTTGGATAGCTGGTATCTAATTTTGTTAGTTATAAAAGTTATATATCGCCAGTTGTACAGTATTTGTTTTCTAGGGTGCCATAACAAAGTACTGCAGACTAGGTGGTAGAAGGAACAAAATTTTATTTGCTCGCAGTTCTGAAGTCTAAAAGTCTGAGGTCAAGATGTCAGCGGGGTGATTTCACTCCTTGGCTTATAGATGACCTGCTCTGTCTTGCCCTCTGTCTCGTGTGGTCGTCTCTCTGTGTGTGTCTGTGTCCTAACCTCTCCTTCTTATGAGGATACTAGTTATTGGATTAGGGTTATCCTAATGACCACATTTCAATTTCATCACATCTTTAAAGACTCTTTAAAGACTCCAAATACAGTCACATTCTAAGATACTGGGGAGTTCCTAGAATGAGACAGGTAAAATTTAAAAAATAAAATTAAAACGATACTGGGGAGGTAGGACTTTAACATATGAATTTGAAGGGAGAGAAAGACACAGTTCAGCCCATAATATTAGTGTCAAGTTCAGCAAATATATATGTATGTAAATTAACATATCCAGTGCCTTGTTATAACACTCCTGGTTCACAATCCTTATCTGGAACCCTTAAAGCTGGATATGTGTTGTAAGTAAGGCATTTGGGAATTTTCAAAAGGCAGTTGACACAAATACTACATAATTGCCTAATATTCCGAGTGGGTTCTGAGGTAGTGCCTCTTAATCAAACACACTAATATTTCTGAAAAACATAAATATTCATACTAAGTGGGAAAATTAATGTCTATAAATCATCTCACATCACTTCCACTCAGGTTTTGCTGCTAAATTATAAAAGGGCAAGTAAAATATTAAAAAAGCTTTCTCCTGTCCGATGCCACCTGCCCAGTGCCTGTCCCTAGACTGAGACCCAGCCCTATTCGCCCGTGCCCATCACCAGCGCGCCGCCAGCATGTCTGACAAACTGCCCTACAAAGTCACTGACGTACACCTGGGGACCCAGGGCCCTGAACTTTAAGGAGACCTAGATGCCAGGCCTAATGCGCATGCGTGAGCGGTACTCGGCCTCTGAGCCACTGGAGGGCGCCCGCTTCTCTGGCTGCCTGCACTAGAACTTGGAGACGGCCGTCCTCATTCAGACCCTCGTCGCCCTGGGTGCTGAGGTGCAGTGGTCCAGCTGCAACATCTCCACCCAGAACCAGGCCGCGACTGCCATTGCCACGGCTGGCATTCCAGTGTATGCCTGGAAGGGCGAAACGGACCAGGAGTACCTGTGGTGCCTTGAGCAGACGCTGTACTTCAAAGACGGGCCCCTCAACATGATTCTGGATGACGGGATCGACCTCACCAGCCTCATCCACACCAAGTACCCGCAGATCCTGCCAGGCATCTGAGGCATCTTGGAGGAGACCACAACCGCGGTCCACAGCCTCTACAAGATGATGGCTAATGGGATCCTGAAAGTGCTTGCCATCAACGTCAATGACTCCGTCACCAAGAGCAAGCTTGACAACCTCTGTGGCTGCCAGGAGTCCCTCATACATGGTGGCATTAAGCGGGCCACAGACGTGATGATTGCCAGCAAGGTAGTGGTGGTAGCAGGTTATGGTGATATGGGCAAGGGCTGTGCCCAGGCCCTGCGGGCTTCAGAGTTCGTCATCATCACCGACATTGACCCCATCAATGCACTGCAGGCCGCCATGGAGGGCTATGAAGTGACCGCCATGGATTAGGCCTGCCAGGAGGGCAGCATCTTTGTCACCACCGCAGGCTGTGTTGACATCATCCGTGGCCAGCTCTTTGAGCAAATGAAGGATGATGCGATCGCATGTAACACTGGACACTGACGTGGAGATCGATATCAAGTGGCTCAACGAGAGCGCTGTGGAGAAGGTGAACATCAAGCCGCAGGTGGGCCAGTACCAGCTAAAGAATGGGTGCCATATCATCTTGCTTCGGCTGGTCAGTCTGGGTTGTGCCATGGGCCTCTTCAGCTTCATGATGAGATGCTCCTTCACCAACCAGGTGATGGCACAGACAGAGCTGTGGACCCACCCAGACAAATACCCCGCTGGGGTTCACTTCCCGCCCAAGAAGCTGGATGAGGCAGTGGCGGAAGCCCACCTGGGCAAGCTGAATGTTAAGTTGACCAAGCTGAGAAGCAAGCCCACTACCTGGGCATGTCCCGTGATGGCCCCTTCAAGCCAGATCACTACTGCTACTGAGAGTCAGGTATGCACTTCGCCTTCCAGCTGCTATCCTTGCCTAGGCTGTCCCTAAGAGCAAAGGGCATTAACTTTGCGAATGGTTTGTCAGTATCCCTCATCAACTCTCTGGGGCCGGTCACTCAGTTTTTTGGCCTCTGAGCAGCCCTCATACAGTTCCAAGTGTGGCAGCGGGAACTGAGAGGCTCCTCCTCAGGCCCTGGGCATGATGGAGGTACCAGCCACAGGGAACCATGAGCTCAGTGGTCTTGGAACTGCTAAATCAGTCCTTCCTTAGCATCAAAGTCAGTAGTGGAATCACAGAGCCCATGTATTTTGCCATCCAGGCCTTCACCTGGTCTGTGGACTTAGACCTGTGTGGTTGCTTTACAGGTCCAGTGGCTCCTCAGCTCATGACAGATGAGAAGGAGCTATACCGAAGGGCAAAGAGGAACTCTTGTTTGAATTTTCCTGAGAGCCTGGCTTAGTGCTGGGCCTTCTCTTACACCTCATAACAATGAGGTTAGTACTTTTAGTCCCTATTTTATAGGAGTTAGAATAGACTGCTAAGGGGAAAGTGAGAAAGAACAGAGAAGTGACAGCCAGAGGTTGAGAGGGGCCAGAAAACATAAAGGCAGATGTAGATCTGCCACTGCTTTGTAACCAGATGTTTCCTATCACAACTCTGGGTCAAAAAGAGAATAACTTGGCCTATAATGTTTATAATGTTAAAAGAAAGCTGGAATGTAGGTAAATAAAAATCTTGGTGCCTAAAAAAAAAAAAAGCTTCCAATTTTCAGTGCTTTTTGGATTATGGACAAAGAATTATGGATTTGTAAGAATTTGAGAAAGAATTAAGATTACAAAGATTAAGATTTAAAATATCCATGTTCTTAGACCCAGAAATTCTACTTTGGGGAATATATCCCAAGGTATACAATCTAAAATGCATAAAAAATGTTTTCTCAGAAATAGCCATGAAGTTATTTTGATAAACATTGAAAACAACCTGCATGGTCATCAGAAGAGAAAGAAAGAACTGGATTTTAAGAAGTCATTAAAAACAATGTTGATGAATAATTTGTAACAAGAGGCAATCTTTATGTTGTAATGTTAAGTGAAAAATGCAGAATCTAAAATGGATAAATATATAAAAAGCATAGAAAACAGATTATAAGGAGACCTAAATATTAATGGTGACTTGTCAGTCTCTCAATTTCTCTTTTCTTTTTTTTCTTTCTTTCTTTTTTTTTTTTTTTTTTTTTGAAATGGAGTCTTGCTTGTGTCACCTAGGCTGGAGTGCAATGGCACGATCTTGGCTCACAACAACCTCTGCCTTGTGAGTTCAAGTGATTCTCCTGCCTCAATCTCCCAAGTAGCTGGGATTACAGGAGCCTGCCACCATGCCCAGCTAATTTTTTGTATTTTTAGTAGAGACAGGGTTTCACCAGGTTAATCAAGCTGGACTTGAATTCCTGACTTCAGGTGATCCACCCGCCTTGGCATCCCAAAGTGCCAGGATTACAGGAGTGAGGCACCATGCCCGCTTTTGTGTATGTGTGTATATACATTTAGTTTTATTGTAACAAAGCAACTTGTACATTTTAACGTTTAAAACTGAGCATAATCTTTCCTGTCCAGTAAAACAATAAGACAACTTAAAAATAAACAGGAACAAAATTGCAATAGAGGATGTCAATTCCAAGTAAGATCCTACAGGTTCTGCTGATTCTCCCATTGAGTGGCAGGGCTCAAGTCGTCATTAGGAGAGAATTTATTTTAAAAGTGTCATCTTAAACTGCAAGGATATCTGTCAAATGTCACAATTAAACATGCCAAAGGAGAAGCCATGTTGTCAAAATGCCCGCTTAACCCACCCAAGCATCTCAAACCCACCCTTTGCTGATCTTCTATAATCCCATTTCTCTAAGCCTTTTTTTCTTTTTTTAAACAAGACAGAAACATGTTGGTGAATGCTAACTGTCCATATTCACATAGAGACACAGTATACTCTCTGAGCCTAATATCCAGAGAAAGGAGGAAAAAAGCTAGAATTCTATACACTACTACATGGGGGCCTAGCATCCTCCAGCTTCCGGCAGAGCGAAGGGAGCTGGTTTTTCTTTCTTTCCACAGAGCTTGGTGGTGTTGATTCCACAGAGTTTTTGTTCAGACAGGAAGGGATAAAAATTAATTTCGAATAGAAAGGGGTAGAACTCTTTTTTCCATTGTATTCTGCTCAAGATATTTTCCTCAAAATAAGTTGAGAACCATGGTGTAGAGAAAAGAGACCTCAAAAACAGGGTGACTGAGCACAAGAGGGGGAAAAAAAAGACTGCAACTTGCTCCAGGGATCAGAAAAAATTTTAAAAAAGGAAGGTTGGAATCCATCAGTGTTCTGTTAGTCATCTTCTCCTTCATCCTCTTCTCCTTCCTCCCCTTCATCATCATCTTCATCTTCTTCACCTTCATCCTCATCCCCTCCTTCATCAATATCTTCTAATCCTTCCTCCTTTTCATCATCATCATCTTCTTCTCCTTCTCCTTCTTCATCATCCATATTGGGAACCAAGTAGTATTGTAGTGGGTTTGGCCAAATATCATCTTTGATGACCTCTCCTAACTCATCAGCACCTGCATCAGAATGGTCAGTAAACCAGGTAAAGAAGCTGTCTGGTTCCTCATGCTGCCTCTTCCTGTTGGCTTTATTCTGCATTTGACTTGAACATATCGTCAAATCCTTTCCAGATTTCCATTTGATTTCAGTGGACTTTGAAGATGGATCACCACTCTCATTCAGATGAAGTTCTTTGGAGAAAACTTTATTTTCAAAGTAAGGATTTTCATCAAAAATAAAAATCTATTCTGTAACCTGATTTAATATCTTCAAATTCTGTCACTTCAACTCTGGTCAAATAATGCAATGCCTCTTCATCCTCCTCCCCAAGCAGTGCAGACACTTGTGGATGGTTGACAAATGTTGTTACCCAAAAATTTGGGATTTTGGCAATCAATTCTGACCTCTTCTGAAAAAATGGTTGGCAGAGTTTGTTATGTTTCTGTTATACTTTCAAAATCTCCTCACTGGCTTGTTCATTAAGTCTGTATTTCATTTTGTACTACATCAATATGTTCAATTGCTTTTTGCTGTTCTTTTTCTCCCTTCTTCGACAAACCTGCAGAGGCCCATGTCTCCTCCAGTCCCAGACCAGGAGGTGGTCTTGGTTTCTTCTTTTAAGGCAGGAGGGGAGACTGGCATTTGGGGACCCTGCTGCCGGGGAAGTCCGAGAACCAGAGCACAAGTCTTCTCACTCATCTGGAAGCAAGCAGAACCCTCTTTTTTTTTTTTTTTTTTTTTTGAGATGGAGTCTCGTTCTGTAGCCCAGGCTGGAGTGAAGTGGTACAATTATGACTCACTGCAGCCTTAACTTCCCAGACTCTACCAATCCTCTCACCTCAGCCTCCCAATTAATTGGGACCACAGGTGAAAAAAATTCAGTCACAGTTTAGCTGATTTTCTGTTACCCAAAGACTAAATGTTGTATTTTAACCTCCAACAAAACTTGTATTAAGTAATAAAAGGAAAAATAGGAAGAATATAATAGGACATACTTAAAAATACACACACATACATGCACACACAAGCAATGAAGAAAATGTATTTAGCTGCAACGTCCTCCTTTCTTTAACTAGTCATGGGACCACAGTTGTTAGCTTTAACAGTGTCCCACTAATCATTCCTTGTTTTCCCTTACTTCAGTCAAGCCCTTAGTAAGGCTTAGTTCTTTCCTGATGAGGCTTGATTTGCATTTCATAGTCGTTTTCATCCTTATTTATCTTTAGTTTGGTGGCATGAAGAGTACTAAATATCCAAATGGCAGTTCCATCTTCCAGTTCAATAGAACCATTGTTGTGGCCTTTCATGAAAGTATTTCTATTCTGGGAATCAAGACCTTCAGATTAGGAGAGTGCAATGCTATGGGGATGGAAAGCAAAATTTCTGCAAGTAGCCATAATAGTGAGAAGAACCACTCCCATTTCCATCTTTTTTGTTTTGTTTTTTGGAGTCTTTCTCCGTCGCCCAGACTGGAGTGCACTGGCATGATCACGGGTCACTGCAACTTCCACCTCCCCGGTTCAAGCCGTTCTCCTGCCTCAGCCTCCCGAGTAGCTGCGATTACAAGCATACACTACCACGCCTGGCTAGTTTTTGTATTTTTAGTAGAGACGGGGTTTCTCCCTATTGGCCAGCCTGTTCTCAAACTCCTGACCTCAAGTGATCCTCCTACCTTGGCCTCCCAAAGTGTTGGGATTGCAGGCATGCACCATAGTGCCTGGCCCCATTTCCATCTCTTGATTATTCTGGCTGTGGGAAAGACAGCACCACATGTTGGTCTCTGATTCAAAACATACACTGCATCTTGGAAGATAGCATTGCATTCTTTCAGGAGGACATTGTCTTTAAACCAACTGAGTTTTCATTAGGCCATTATACTCTTCTACTAGGCCAGATATTTCTGGGTGAAGGAATACATGGTGTGACCAGTGAATTTTGGGGGCATAATCCCATTGTTGCGTTTCTTTTGCTGTGAAATAATCACAAGCACAGTTCTGCAGAATATAATGAAAATCAATAAGGTATTTTATGAGTCCATGAATAGTGGTGCCAGCATTATAGACAGAGAAGGCAAGTCCATATCCAGAATATGTGTCTATTCCAGTGAAAAGATCCCTGTTCTCTTGATGAGGGAAACAATCCAATATAATCAACTGACTAACAGGTGGCTGGCTGACTTGTCTCTTCAAGGAAGGGTGCCAAATAAGAGACAAGTGTTGGTTTGTGCTGTTGGCTAGTTATTATTGTTAGCAGTAGCAATGTAGCTGGGCTAAAGGTCAGCCTTTGTGAGAAGATCATATTGCTGAATCCATACAGAGCCCCTATTCTGGACAATATGACCAGTTCGCACATGGGTCCATTGAAAAATCACTAGGGTGGGGCCAGGCATGGTGGCTCACGCCTATAATCCCAGCACTTTGGGAGGCCAAGGCGGGTGGATCATGAGGTCAAGAGATCAAGACCATCCTGGTCAACATGGTGAAACCCCGTCTCCACTAAAAATGCAAAAAATTAGATGGGCATGGTGGCGTGTGCCTGTAGTCCCAGCTACTTGGGAGGCTGAGGCAGGAGAATTGCCTGAACCCAGGAGGCGGAGGTTGCAGTGAGCTGAGATTGCACCATTGCACTCCAGCCTGGGTAACAAGAGCGAAACTCCATCTCAAAAAAAAAAAAAAAGAAAGAAAGAAAGAAAAATCACTAGGGTGGCTAGGGAAAGTGGCTGACTGATGTCAAGAGAATGAGTCACTTTGTTCATCTGATCATTAAAAGTTTCCTTATCAGATGGTTCCCTTTGGTGAGTATCTATGTGGGACACAAATATAGTCACATGGAGTGTTTCAACCATCCTGTAAGGTCCATCCACATACCTCTTCCTTAGATCTTCTTGTATCAATCTTGTAATCTTGTCCTCTCTGAGTCCTTGATCATCCAGCCCAAATGTTAGCAACTGCCCATGAATCAGTGTTGATCCATACTTCTGACCATGTTTCAGTCCAGCCAAGGTAGACAACCAAGCATGTTGCTCTAAATTATGCTTATTAGGATAATTTCCCTTTACTACTGTCCATCAAGGCCACCTCTCACTGGGACTGTAATGATGTAACCATACACCTTTGGTTGATAACAGCATATCATGTAGAACCACTTGTACACCAGGTCTGGAATTTTTCCTCCTCAATCTATCATTGTAGAAAACTCCTTATAAAGTAATATATGTGAGTTGAGAGCGGAAGAGTCGCTGCTGAAGGACTCTTCATGGAATTACCTATTTTCCATTTCTGCATAAGTCTGATATATGCCATTCCCACTTGATGACAGATTGCTGCCATGTGTATCCAAGCACCCATTTCATAAAGGAAAGCTCAGTTAACATTGCCACTTGATGTCCCATAGTCAGGCATTCAGTCTCTAGGGCTGAGGGATCTGTGGGGATCGCTCCCCTGTGAGGCCCCTAGGAAATGGGCCTTGCCATACAGTGAGCTTGAGCCCAGACACAGATCCCCAGTTGGGGGAGTCGAGCTGAGGGAAAGCAGGAACTGAGAGAGGGACTATGCTATTCAAAATAATTAACAGACATTACTTTATGGATATGAGGACTTGGGAGGCATTGTGTCCACTTTCGGCTCCTTATGGTTTCTTGCTTGATTGTGTTCATTTTGGACCCTTGTTACCTTCATTGTAAAATATTAAGTATTTACACTTGGTAAGTTACTTACTGTAACTTACTGGGTGTAACTGTAACTTACTTACTGTAACTTACTGGGTGTAACCGTAACTTACTTACCATAACTTACTGGGCGTAACTGACTTACTGGGCTCAACTTACTTACTGGGCATTACTTAGTGGGCGTAACTTGCTTACTGTAACTTAAGTATGTTGATCTGTTGTAAACAACATTAACTTCAGCAAAGTATATAATGGAACATATTGCAAAAATAAAATTGCTGCTTGGACATAGCCTAAGCCAGCCCTCCAGACTCCGCTTTTCTCTTTTCTTTCACTTCCGCGCACTCTCTCCCTCAGGTTGAACGAGACATCTACGTCGGCGGTCTCGGGGACTCCCGCAGGTCGGTAGCCCCCCGGCAGATGTGCCGGACCCCAACATAGGGCTAAATAGCCAGATGGTAGCTGTTTGTGAAAAACTCAAATAATTATTTGCAGTAAAGGGCACGAATTTTCTCCAAAATCCTAGAGGTCTATATGATGGTTTTCCTTTGGTGCAAAGGGTATCTGCTTACTACATAATAGAGTAAGTATTTTATATGTAGAACTATTTCAGTATTCAATATTGCCATTCTCGGGGGGTAATTTTTTTCTTGTTGGAAAGCTTTTGTTTAAAATATGTTGTTTTGGTTGGACAGTGGCACACGCCTGTAATCCCAGCACTTTGAGAGGCCGAAGCAGGTGGATCACCTGTGTTCAGGAGTTCAAGACCAACCTGGTGAGGGTGGAGTGGAAGAAGGTAAAAAAAAAAAAAGACCAACCTGGCCAACCCCATCTCTACTAAAAAAATGCAAAAATTAGCTGGACGTGGTGGTGTGCCGTAAGTCCCAGCTATTTGGGAGGCTGAGGCAGGAGCATCTCTTGAAGCCAGGAGGCAGAGGTTGCAGTAAGCTGAGATTGCACAACTGCACTCCGGCCTGGGCAACAGAGTGAGACGCCATCTCAAAAAAATAAAATAAAATACAAATAAAATTTTTTGTTTGTATGTTTAGCTTTTGTTTTTACTGGCATAACAAAATAAAACATGTTATTTTTATCTTCTGATCTTCCTCAAAATTCTACTCAGGTTTCTATTGACCCCGTTGTTTTATGTCAAGTTTTCCTTCACTTTCCTTCTCCTATTGTGTTTTCTCTTATATTTTACTCTTTTTATTTTCTATGGATATTGCCTTTTCCATCGACTTTTTCCAAGTTTTCCTCATTTCTGCTAATTTTCTATTTAATACACTTGATTTCTTCTCCTTAGTCTTTCTATTCTTTCTTGCCTCCGCTTTTGTCTGTCTGCAATTTTTTAATCAATTACATTTTATTTCTATTAGTTTTTATTAGTACCGCTTAAAAAGTCTAACACGTGCCCTTGAGATAAGATTATTTATCCTTCTTTTGTTGTTGTTGTTGTTTTCAGACGGAGTTTCGCTCTTGTTACCCAGGCTGGAGTGCAATGGCACGATCTCGGCTCACTGCAACCGCCGTCTCCTGGGTTTAAGCAATTCTCCTGCCTCAGCCTCCTGAGTAGGTGGGATTACAGGCACGCACCACTGTGCCCAGCTAATTTTTGTATTTTTAGTAGAGACGGGGTTTCACCATGCTGACCGGGATGGTCTCAATATCTTGACCTCGTGATCCACCCAGCTAGGCCTCCCAAAGTGCTGGGATTACAGGCTTGAGCCACCATGCCCAGCCAAGATTATTTATCCTTGTAGAGCTTATAGGATTCCTTTTTTGTATTTTGTTTTGTTTTGTTTCTTTTTAACTTAGGGAGGAGCTGGACTTGTAGTGGATACTGGATATTTGATATAGATAAAATCATACTTTGTAAATTTTGTTTTATTTTTGTTTTAGATGGAGTCTCCATCTGTTGCCAGGCTGGAATGCAGTGGTGTGATCTCAGCTCACTGCAACATCTGTCTCCGAGGTTCAAGCAATTCTCTTGCCTCAGTCTGCGGAGTAGCTGGGACCACAGGTGCACGCGCCACCACACCCGGCCAATTTTTGTATTTTTAGTAGAGACAGGGTTTCACCATGTTGGCCAAGATGGTCTCAATCTCTTGACCTCGTGATTCACCCGCCTCAGTCTCCCAAAGTGCTGGAATTACAGATGTGAGCCAACTACCCAGCCAGAGCTTATAGGATTCCAATGGAAAAGAT